TCTCTCCGTGTAAATTGGTAAGTTGTGGCGTCTAAAAGCATATTTGTTTGCTTTATGATAACCTTAAATTCTTGTGGTGTCACTGCTATGGCTAAGACTGAAGTTGAGAGTTTCAGCTGCAGAAATTGCTGCAGGCTTAATTAGCGTGCACTCATTTATACGTAGCACACCACTTCTTCCTAAAACGATTTGATCAACAGGTCCGCCTGCAGTTCGCAAGAGTTTCCAGCCTGTCGAGCGCTAATCGTGCAAACGTATAACTGCGTTGTTGGCACACTTAAAACATCTTTATTTTGATTCCGTTGATAATATTTTTAAGCTGACCTAAAATTTTCTTATGATCTGAGGTGATTCTTTTTAGAAAAAAAAAAAACATTTTTAAATACTAAAGGCCCTTTAAACTGAAATTTTGTACGGAAAAAGTGTTTTTAAAGGGCAGATACATTTTAAAACCTGCACAAGAAAACAACACTAAGTTTATTTATATAAAACTTGATTTTTAAGGTATTTTAAAATAGGCCCAGCTCACATAAATCTTAATATATTTCCGAAAAATTTTGGCAGAACTCTTAAGGAATAATAATTTTTATATTTCAGATAGAAACAGTACCGATTTTTTGTATGGAGAGTGATCCACCCTAAAGTATATCTATAAATTCCCTAGTAAAAAGTCTTTATACACAACTTCCAAACCGAACTTAAGACTATTAGATGACCCTCACGTATGCAATACGGGGAGAAAGGAAGATGGACGTAAGAAAAAAGATAAGCGAGCAGAAAGAACAGAGACGTCTTTTCAAAATGTGGAAACGAAAAAAGAGCAGAGAAATGACGTGAGTGCAAGGATATAAAGAATAGGGCAATAAATCGAAAACTTTACGCAGGCTTAATTCTAAAAACGGAACATAAAATTTTGGTAATTCTAAAGCCAGACAAAATTTTTGGTTATTTAAAAATTGGCAATATCTTTTTTTTTAACTTTGCAGTTACCATAAAATATGGACAAAAAACAGTATTTGTAAAATAGTGTAAGGGACAATAATAGCGGAGATGTGTTTATATTTGGTAACGCGCAATCTTAATTTTTTCNTTCAAAATGTGGAAACGAAAAAAGAGCAGAGAAATGACGTGAGTGCAAGGATATAAAGAATAGGGCAATAAATCGAAAACTTTACGCAGGCTTAATTCTAAAAACGGAACATAAAATTTTGGTAATTCTAAAGCCAGACATAATTTTTGGTTATTTAAAAATTGGCAATATCTTTTTTTTTAACTTTGCAGTTACCATAAAATATGGACAAAAAACAGTATTTGTAAAATAGTGTAAGGGACAATAATGGCGGAGATGTGTATATATTTGGTAACGCGCAATCTTAATTTTTTTCTTTACAATTATTTATTTTTTATTCTAACAGCATTTGCTGCAAATAACATCAAGAACGTTTCTTCCCCCAATAACGGGTGAAATCGCTTCTTTTTTCTTGTAATGCGCTTAACTGTAGGTAGTTATTAACTAACGTTACACCGCCATCCCTACGTCTAGCAGTCAAACAGTTGCGACAATTTTCTAAACGTTGGAGACAATGTTTTATTTGTCAACGTTTGCAGTCTAAATTGACACTTACAAGTTTTAATGACACTTACATATGTATGTATGTACATATGTATAGTACAGGCATATAAACAGCAGAGTAAACACAAGTCGTCGCAAATGTAAGTGTGTGGGTCTTTTGTTAACCGTCGCCGCCGCCTCTCCATTAAAATGCCAACCGCACTCACTTGAGTACACGCCCATTTTACGTAGTACGTACCGTAGGCGCTTTTGTTGCCTACCAACAATGCCAACTTAACGGCTTTTCAAAAGCTCATTTCATATTTGACAAGTGTGCGACTTAAGGCTGTCCAAAGGCTTATGTATGAGCAACAACAACACGTGTGAACATATTTGCAAAAGACAACATTTTCGAGTAGTAGGAGTAGGAGGAAATAAGTTTTGAAGAGGTGGGAGATTTAGGAATGGGTATGTGAAAACATTGTTCCTTTTGTTATGATGTCTTTGTTAAACGGTTTAATTTTTGTTCTTGATTTGTTTACATATTTGTATACATACATACATAAAAAGATATACATACATATAAGACTATGGTTTACTTAACTACATATGTACATTCTCCATATGCATATGTAGATAGTTAAGTACATACGTTTGTGTATTATGCATTACTATTACTTTGTCTATTGTTGTAGTAGTTTTATTAGTTTAATTTCATCTGCGTCTCCACAATGCACAGCGATTTACATATGTATGTCGTACCATGCGTATACGTAACATTCGAAACGTCCGGTAGTGGTGGTTACTCATACGCACCGTACCACATTCTAAACAAAATGAAACACTTATAGGGAATTTACATGATTCAACTTTCACAGGCGATTAATTGAATCAAAAGTTGAACGCAAGTAGGCACCCGACCAACTTCATTGAAAGCGATTACTTGACAGGCCGTTTACACCAGGCGATTGTTGCTTGCAACTAAAAGTTGCCTGAAAAATCGCCTCATGTAAATTCCCATAATGTTTCATTTTTTTTTGGAACATTTCGCGATACTCACGTTTTATTTTACTGAATTTTTCAGGAATTTTTGGGTCAAATACTTACTACACAGGCCGCAATTGTTTTTCATAGTACAAACACGTATTGCGTAATTTTTGGTTTTCATGTCACCAATATAAAATAAATCTCATCCCCAGTTTCACCAATCAATTTGAAAATTTATCAGACCGTTAAATTTTGAAATGACAAATTTTCCGAACAAATTTGTGTCATTTTAATTTTGAACAGGCTGATAAATTTAAAACTAATTGGTGCAACAGAGCAATAATGTGCTAGACAAAAAGGGGCTATATTTTAATCAAGCATAACTAGAAACATATTAAAAATAACAAAATTATTGGAAGGGAAAAATAACATTAAATTTCGCTGGCCAGTGTTATTCTTGATATTAAAAATCATAATTTAACCACTAAAAAGGGAAACTAATTTTCATCAGTTTTAAACTCTAGCGGAAGAAGTTCGGATACTACGGATAGCAACGCAACCACAGTTCGGTTGCCAGCTGGCAACGCAACTGGAAAGAAAATTTGTATTACGAATGGCAACTATCGTCAGTTGCTGTAGAGTTATCGATAATCGAAATTTGACAGTGCGACAACCAGCAAGCGGCTGTAAACAAGCTGTGCGAGTAAAATTAAATTATTAAAATCAAGAGTTTTAAAGAAGTGACAGCAATAAAGCTAACTTCATCACAATTATTTATTTAATAGGAAGAGAAGTGCATGAACGCGGCCTCAATCAGGCGACATTTAAAGGATAAATCCAATCCTCTAGAGCTACCGCGTGCACTGTAAGCAAAAGTTAATGCTTTCAAGGTTTTTCTTTTATTATCGTTTTGTGTTCATTTTCAAAGCATATTGAGGCCTTCCAAAAGGAGCTGTAGTATAATTGGTTAATAAACAGATGAACCTCTTCGTTCAACTTCAATACCTCCGCTCATAAAAGCTTGCGCACCTCTTCGTTTTTTCGCAGAAGGAAGTGCCACGGCAATGGCTTCAATTTGGAAAACTTGGTGTGTCGGGAGTTTTAAAAGAGGTGCTTCAGTCGATAAAGGAAACAATTTGCAATCAGTGTTCGCTTTTGTTTCGCCAAAGGGCGTACTCCTCAGGAATTAAAATTTCAAGTTATTGTTTTGTTATTTTTACCATATTCTGTAAAAGCAAACTGCATTGCAAAATGTTAGTATCGTTCAAATTATTAAAAAGTGAAATATATGACACACTTTTCAATTTTTGCTCCTAAATACGCTCCAAAAACATTCCTAGCAACCACAAAAATGTAGTCGCCTGTATACACACTTTGTAGCAACTGCAGTTGTCAGTTGAAAGTTGCCAGTTGCTATCTGTAATATCGTTTTGGCAACTAGCAACGCAACTGAAGTTCGATTGCTATCGATAATCGACCCATAAATCATTTAGAAATTTAGTGAATCTATGGCGATATTAAGGTTCCAACAATCTTTTAATGTTTATTTGATCAAAAATGTTGTTATATTACTGATGACTGCAAACTATTAACATAACGTCGTCCATTGTTTGAGCGCCGCTGAAAGAGAGAACGACTCGATGCCCTCTATTGGGGCTCATGTTGTTGCAGCGGCGTATTTAGCCTGACCACTTTCGTAAAAAGGACTGTTTTTTCGAATTATTAAAGACGATAGAGGATAATGAAGCCACAAGCCGATTAGTCCGCTCCCAGAAAAGGTTCAGCCTTATCGCAAACTCCATGCGAGCAAATCGGTCAAATAATTTAAACAAATTGGAAAAAAAAAGTTGTTTTGCTTTATAAATTTTGGTAATAGATACATATTTGTTTACAAGGAATTCGCAAGAATGCCAAATAGGCCCAGGGTTACACTCAATGCCATTCCAAATTTTTAATAATTATCGAATTTTTTATAAGAACTTTATTTAGTTTTTCGCATATAATTTCGAAACGTTCAATCTTTTTTGTGAAGTCAACTACATATGTATGTACGTGATAATTGCAAACATATTTCTAATGTCAGGAAATTTAAAAATTACTAATTTTCAATAAAAATTACTTGTACCTAAACAACTGGAAGCGTGTATTGCGACAAACATAAATAGATGAAAGTAACTTACAATTTAGTTGTTAATAAATATATTGTAGGTCGATGAAAAATATTATTGGCAAATAATCGAGGGTTTAAATAATACATACAAATGTTAATAATATAACTAAAATAATTTGTCAGAAGATAAAAAATATGTGATTGTGAGTGTGTATTTTTGATTATAGTGAATATGTAAATTTACGTGTGCACCATTCGTTGTGCACACAACAATGAATTTCTAGGATGTCATATATGTTGTATGTATGTAGGCTAGTTATTAATCGTACGAAAAATGGCAACATTAATATGGCACTGGTTCATTCAATGGTTGTTGCTGTTGCAGCCCCCCTCTTGTTGAGATTCGATAGTCAACGCATTGTCAGTGCCATTTATTGTCAACTCAGCTACTGTCGCGACAGCGGCTTCTGTTACATCGGCAATGGTTAATTCTGCCACCTTTGCGGCAATCTCCGCCGGCACAGTTGTTTCTGGCCAATTTACTGCATCCAACTGATCCGTGTTGCCTTCTTTTGGAGCTGTTGTTGTATTAACTTCATCAACCAAAACTATTGCTGCTTCGTCATGCGCATCTTCATTAGTTGGTGGCGATACAGTATTTGTCAAATCAACACTAAGTGTTTCGACTTGTGGTGGCAGTTCAATGGGCTCTTTCTCAGTTTGTTCTACAATTGCGGTCGTATTTGTATTGTCATTTGGCGACTCGCTACCAAGACCAGGCGACGACTCCTTACCATTCTTATTGCTTTTCGATTTTTGTTTTTTACGCTGACGTTTCTTAGCCGAGTCCTCCGACTGTTGCTGCTTAGCAGACGTTTGTCCGCCAACTTTGCCAGTAGAATCGGTGCTAACGCCCGTAGCGACATTTAAATACTTCATTTGACTTTGAAGATTCGCAAGAGTCTGTTTCAATTCAGCACAATTGCGCGACATAATCTCCATTTTATCTTTGTCCGATGAGCCTCCACTGTTGGTTGTAATCGGCGCTGTTCGAATTGGCTCAGGCTCTGGTGGTAGAGGCGGCATAGCGGGGCATTCGACATTATTTTCTCGCAACACCTTATAGAGGTGCGAACGTTCGTTTTGTAGGGCGCGTAACAATTTCTGCAGCTGTTCTACTTGTTTGCTGCAACGTGCTGCGTGTTCATCGCGTTCTTTTTTCTCTGTAGCCAATTCAATGAGTATGGCATTGCTCTTTTCCCATTTAGTTTTCCACTCAAGTGTTTCTTTTTCCAACTTGCGAGTGTTCTTTGCCATCTGGGTAGGAAAAAAGTTTTTTAAAGTTAAGTTAGATTAGGGAAAAGTATGATTTTTAAGATAAATAAATTACTTTCTCCAATTCAACTTTGTATGTTGCGAATATGTCATTGGATTTTTGCAGTGAATTCTGAAAATCGTCATACTTAGCAGTATACAGAGTTAGTTGCTCTTTAAGCGCCGCCTCTCGCTCGGTTAATTCTCTGAGCAACTTTTGCGAATGCACAAACTTTTCGATTGCTATTTGTTTTTCCCTAAAAACAAAAAATAAATAAAAGTGTCAAGTCGATACATACTTTTGTTTTGTAATATGTTAAATGTATCCTCACTTTAACAAAATTTCCTTCTCCATAGCAGCCTCAACTTGCACCTTATTCAGCTTGGCTTGATGCAATTGTGACTCCAACTGCACCTGCTCGTTTAGCTTTTCCAGCTGTTGCTCACGCATATGATATTGCTCTGCTAGCATTTTCAATCTGTACGATAGTTGATTATCAAAATAATTTAGTTAACTTTCATAGTTTATTTCTGCTTACTTTTTGGTCATTTCCAAGTTATGATCCCGCAACTTCAAATTTTCATCATTATTTTTAGTTAAAGACTGCGTGATCTCGTTAAGTGATGATTGGAATTTTGATTGACTTTCCTTTCGCCGCTCCTCTTCTTCCCGTATTTTTTGTATACTTTCATTTTTCACAGATTTGATTAGTTTCTGCTGTTCGCGACAGACTTCCTGCAATTTGTCTCTAAAGAAAAAAAAGATGATAAATTTAAGAAGAGTAACGAACGCGATACCTTACCGCATCAGAACACTTTTATTGTATTCGCGCTGCAAGTTTTCCTTCTCCCGTAAGACAGTCTCCAACTGCTTTTCCTGCACCTTCATTTCCTGTCGCAGTTTTCTAGCGCCACGTTCACTTTCTACATGCTTACGCAGTAGCAGTGCAAATTTCTCTTCCGGAATAGCTCCTGCCGCTTCTTCTTCCAGCATTTTCATTATCTATGGTTAAAAACGGAAGCGCCACACATCACATAAGATTGCAAATTTTCAGTACAATTCACCTTGGCCCCGTTAGCCGGTATGGCCCCGGGACAATTAACATGTACATAGATATCTGGCCCGATCATCCGGTGACTTACCTGCTCCTCGATTTTCTGATCCTTTTGTTTTTCATCTTTGGCTTCTTTCTTACTTTTTGCTGTGGTCTTTTCCATTGTGAAAGAGTGAGAAATTTTCTTGATTTTCACACACGGCACGTTTTGTTTAGTAGAATATTTTTAAATTGTAATTGGTGATTTCCTTATTAGGATGAAAAACTCAGAATTGTCAACATGAAGGAAATTAATTGGTCCCTAACCGATTCCGGCAACGCATTTGATCCCTAACCTCCCTAACCGCATGAAAACGGTTTGTTTACATGAAAAAGTGCTGCCCAGTTAATTTTAAGGAATTCAAATACCAATTAGAAATGAAACAAGTTTTTCTCTTTCAATGGTGCGAATACCTAAAGCATGCTTGTTTTTGTTATACAAATCAATAAAACAATTAAAAAACAGACAGATTATCAATTTTCTCACAAGTGTGATTCCAATTAGCAAATTTCATAGATAAATTTGGCAGCACTACAAAATCGAACTTATCTTATTAGATCCACAACGAGTCTCGAAATCGTACATTTACCTTCTACTCAATCAATAGGAGTTTTTTTCATGTGACTGCGTTGTCACTTGTCACATATCGAACGTCACTTGGATTTTTCTTCTTGTCTTGTGTGGAACGAAGTTATAAAAGTTTTTGCAGCGTAGTTAAAGTAACTATAAAAGTTGCCTTAATTAATTAAAAGTGAAAATGACTAGCCAAACGCAGGGTATCCAACAGCTGCTCGCCGCTGAAAAGAAGGCTGCCGAGAAGGTAGCAGAGGCCAGAAAACGTAAGTAAAATAGTGAAAAACAAGAGTTTTCATACTTTCCAACTCCCCTTCCACCCCCTTTAAAAGCAATCAAAGGGGTCATGTGATAAGCAAAAATTCAGTGGAGTAGTAACTAACCACTTTGTAAATGGTGAATCGCTTTCGTCTTACACAATTTTTACGACTTTTTAGGCAAGGCAAGAAGATTGAAACAAGCCAAGGATGAGGCAACCGAAGAAATTGAAAAATACCGCCAAGAACGTGAACGTCAGTTCAAAGAATTCGAGGCCAAGGTAAGAGACTTAAGCAGGGCCAATGGAACTGGAAATTGATTTAATCTTTGTAGCCCCAGTTACATGCAAGAAATCTTGTAATAATTTTTTTTTTTTTTGTCTTTCATTTGCAGCATATGGGCTCACGCGAAGGTGTGGCCGCTAAGATCGATGCTGATACCCGTACGAAATTAGCTGACATGGAACGTTCGATTGCCTCACGCAAAGAACCCGTAATCGAGGAAGTCCTTCAATTCGTCTACAATATCAAGCCTGAGTTGCACAAAAACTACGTTCTGAAATAAATTATCACATCCATGGGTGAAGGGATAAATGCCAGCTTGAATGCATTTCTATTATTCGTCGTATTACTTGTAAAGTTTATTAATTAACTAACCAATCAAAAAACTAGGTAACTAAGCAGCAAATTCCCGATATTCGTGTACGTTCCATTTAATTGCATTATTGTAATGGTGCAATTACGCCTTTACTTAAGAAAAATTCCAGATTTTCAACGTGTCGACGATGCGTTGAAGGTCGCTACTTAATTTACAAAATACAAAAGTGGGCGCAAATGCACTAAATGATTTTAAGCTAAACGTTTTAAAGTATTATGCCGAAAAGTATGAAGAAAAATGTACGCTAGCATTGTTATCATAAAGTATAACTAATATATATTTTGTGTTCTTGTTGTTATGCAATAGTTGATGAGAAAAGTGTGGATACTTAAGCAATAAAGGTTCATTCATTTTTCGTTTTATGCCTCAAACTATCTGGTTTTTCATTTTGTGTTTGCAAAATAAAAAAAAAGAGGTGCGCTCACATGAGCAATCAGCTGATAGTCACCTTTCGAGTCTAATTGGATCGAGCCATGTGACCTATTTGAGTTAAAGTTAAGTTTGGTCGGTTCTTATTGCAATAGCGTTTACATTGCATCATAAATGATTAGGTTAGTTAGCGTTTTGTTATGGATAAGATTATTGTAACTTTATTATATCATTTGTATACGGTGTCGCCGCAGTCGAGTTGTTACAGTTGAAGAAGTTGTTTTGCTAATAATCGCTCCTGTTAGATGTGACAAAACTCTAGATGCTCTTCAGTCATGAGAAAGCTTATTGCGTTACAGTGACATTCAATCTTTTTTAGTTTTTAAGTATCCTATGCCATTTTACAATTTTAATATTTAGTAATTAAAAGCATTCTTCCTATCAACTTTAGATAAAATACTGGGGCACAAAGCAAGCACAGTATTGTTTGTATCCATGTGCAAGCAATGATCTGGAAATTGCGACAATAACGGTTGTTTAGTAACCACAGTTTTATAATAATAATAATAGTTTTATAAAATTTAGTAACCACAGTTCACAATATCAAATTTTTTCATTAACAAATCTGTCATAGAAAATAAGTTGTATTGAATAATGCAATAGTTTTAGAAGAAATTTTCTGCAGATGTGTATGTACATAAATATTTACATATTTATTTTTAACCGACTCCACAAAAAGGAGAAGGTTATCAGTTCGTCGGAATATTATTTTTTTTTTTGTTATGTATGTATGTTTAAAGGACCTCACAGGTGGTCCAATACTAAATCCGATCATCAGATCATGAAGAAATTAACGACAATCTTAAATTTGCTTTATGAGATTATGGTACAGATTGAAAATTGGGTATTGGGTAAGTTTGTTTCTGCACGTATTTTGATTTATTAGAATTATATTTTACCATTTGGCCGAATATTATCGTGGTATGGAAATCATGATCCATGCTAGTTGAATTGAATACAATTTATAGGTACGAATTATGTATGTATGTATGCACCGTATTTTTCAGCTGTGATTATTACATTTTACTCTCACAAATATGTAAATTAGTTAGAAAAGACGTATGTATATAGTTTTTTTCCTAATTTCTCTATACGAAACTAAATCTCTCTTGCAAAAAATCATTTATCAGATTACGAGCAATAACCCAAAAATCATGTTCGCAGTTGAAATTTCAAGGAGTATCAATTACCAATTCTTCAAAACTACCGAAATGCGTGGGAAGACCCCAAGCTCCTACTTTTGGTTTGAGTGGAGGCCCCTTATAATCTGGGTACCCACCCAGGAACCAAATATGTCAGGGTACCCACCAAATGAATTCGTTTTGGTACCTATCTTAAGATACTGGCAGCACTTCGCAACAGATGATTCACTGACGTATATGTAGCAACAAATTATTTGACATTCCCTTTTTGTAATGTTTATTTTCCTTTTTGTACTAACGAATTGATAATTTCCTTGCTTTTGAACAACAAAATCAGTGGAATAACAAAACAATTATAACGACAATACTATATACTTATTTGTAAACGAAAATTATCAAAAGTGCCCAGCCATGAAGGCGGGTACATTTCGAAATACACAATGGGATCCCATGCTACTCGTCGCCCAAATCATATCCATGCAATCATGCGTATACTTCTCCTTGGGTCTATTGGTTTTCTTCGCTAACATATTAGCTGGCGATAATTACACACTGGATAATGTATTTGAGTATCATGTAAGTATGGCAAATACGAATCCAAATCATAATTTCTATTCTAATGGCGATTTCTGAAATAGGAAATACACATTTCCGACGCTGGTGGACGACTTATTATACTCGCATTTGTGCTAAATTCATTTGTTGCTTCATTGGCGTTGTGGTTTATTGTACGCCGCGCAAAATTATGTTTAGATTTTAGGTGAGTATTAAAGAGCTGAGTTAAATATTTGCCCGTGTACTTTTCAGTTTAAATAAACACAAAATTTCTTTACAGCTGCACATTCCACATCCTTCATTTACTAATCTGTTGGTGGTATAACTCAAATTTTCCGTCGAATGTTAGTTGGTGGTTGCTAAATGCAATCACAACGACTATAATGTGTATCGGCGGCGAATTTTTGTGTCTCAAGTCGGAATTAAAAGAGATCCCGGTTGGTTATGCGGCACTCAATCAGAAATCGGATGTTTAACATTTCTTTGGGATGAAGAATTTAGAATGCGCACTTCGTCTGTAGCAGGGACTGTCGCAGCTATTACAGAATATTCAAAAGTGATCTTTTATGTTTATACAACATGTACGTTCATAGAAATTGTATTTATTTAGATTATAATAAAAATGCGTCATCAAAATAACTGTACACCTGCATGGTTTTTACATACATACGTATGTACATATTTACTTTTGTGCCACATAACCAATTTAAACTCCCTGTCGATAGCGATTCTTTAGTTNATTTCTTTACAGCTGCACATTCCACATCCTTCATTTACTAATCTGTTGGTGGTATAACTCAAATTTTCCGTCGAATGTTAGTTGGTGGTTGCTAAATGCAATCACAACGACTATAATGTGTATCGGCGGCGAATTTTTGTGTCTCAAGTCGGAATTAAAAGAGATCCCGGTTGGTTATGCGGCACTCAATCAGAAATCGGATGTTTAACATTTCTTTGGGATGAAGAATTTAGAATGCGCACTTCGTCTGTAGCAGGGACTGTCGCAGCTATTACAGAATATTCAAAAGTGATCTTTTATGTTTATACAACATGTACGTTCATAGAAATTGTATTTATTTAGATTATAATAAAAATGCGTCATCAAAATAACTGAACACCTGCATGGTTTTTACATACATACGTATGTACATATTTACTTTTGTGCCACATAACCAATTTAAACTCCCTGTCGATAGCGATTCTTTAGTCTTCTTGCCCTTGGTTCCTCTAGGAAGCGTTAGGTTAGAGTAAAAGTAAAGCATTTACTGGAGAAAAAAAGGAACCAAAAACATTTTCTTCAAGTATGTACTTAAAAAATCTTTAATCGAATACACAAAGTAAAACAAAACTCAATTCGAGTCGCCAGATGTTAAGTAAAAATTGTTAGTTTCTTTTTCACATAGGGGAATTTCCAATCCAAATTTGCGTCTCGCTGAACAGAAACGGGTGGAAATAAAACAAAGATGTATTTTTAATATCCTTAGTTTTGTAAACCTTCACCATCCTTCGTGTTTGTTCTTTGTACTCCCGTATAATCAAGCCGTTCGAACTTTGTATGTTCTATTTGTGCTGCCGAAAAAGGAGCCCTATTGCAAATTTTGTAATTATAATACCATACAAATTCCTCCTCTGGAAGCAGCATCTTCAGGTCAGCGGAATAGATAA